GTTGTTCTTGGATATCAAAAGAATGAATTGTGAGTCATGAAGCTAGACTGTGTTCTGCACAACTTCATGATAATTGTACATGTGGAGTGAAGGACAATCTTTGCATGCACACTGCGCTGTGCTTTGTAATGTGACACGTAACATTCGACAGCCATGAGAATCACATAAGAAGAAAATAATACTCATTCACTACAACAGACAAAAAAACTTCACAGTGCTTTGTTGTAAACCAGTAACCTACCATTACAATAAACATTGAAATCAAAAGCATGCATACCAATCTTATTGACATCCACTTTTGCTGAGGTAATGGTTTTGATGAAGTCTTTGTCAATGGTTTCTTTAGCCTGCTTCACCAGGTCTCTATTTCCCCGCAGGACCAGTTTTCTTTCCTCTGGTTTGATGTCAAATGATACTCGGAGTACAGGGTTTTTGCTAGGTAACACGATAAGAGAACAAAGGGTTAATATGACAACCCTGCATGCTAGTTGATGTGATATAAGAATTCATCTGTCATCTTCAATAAGTACACTAAAACCCTAAGTGTTTTGACTTGAATATGCGTTTTCCATACAGCCAGCTATATGATTGCGTCACAAGATTTTTACTCACCTATTAAGCATCTCAAGAGTGTCCCTTATTTTGTTCTTGATCTGCGGAATACTCAGGTATTTCAGTTCTCTTTTGCCAGCAGTGAGTGCAGAAGTCACAATGGCATTCACTTCAAAATAGTCTTGCACTGCCTTCAAACTGTCTTTCACTTCTTTCAAAAACCCTAAAGTTAAAATCTTACAACATTTTTGTTTGTTTGTTTGATTTAAGTTAGAATAAATTTTAAGAATTTCTTTTTATCATTTATTTAATGGTATGCACTAGTAGCATATATTCTAAACAACCCCATTTTAATGCTATATTTTATATATGTATGCATTTAAAAATGAGTACAATAAACTCTTTAAAAAGGAAACATACTTCATTTAGAGGATCATCTCCTTGACATTTCAGGAGAAAATATAGACTTCACTCTTATTTCAGATATTTTTTCATAACATAATTATAATTATAATGTCCAAATTATGAATAATTAAGATATTATATGACTTCTTTGTTACATAACAAGTACATAGTCAGCTGTATGTTTCACACAGCATATATGCACATGCAGTACCTTCAAATACAATGATGGCTCTGTCAACAGTAATAACCACTAGGAGGCGACTCTGCAGATCTTGTATGACTTTCTGGAATGTGGCTGTTGTCAGCATTCCTTGACTGTCAGGATCAACATCATACTTCTCTTTGTGCAGTAGGGCCAGTAGCACAGATACTGCCTTTTCAGTATTCTTCTCATCTTTAGAGTCTAAAATTGTTGTGTGTACATTTATTTATTTATTTATTTTTGTTACTGGTCACTTGGATCCAAATTTCTCAGACAAAATTAACATTTATAACATATTACTACTTACAATAGTAATTGTGAGCTTGCCACTACCAGTGGATCACAACAATATGTTGACAATGCAATTCATTTGTTAAAAGAACCAACAACCTTAATGAATCACACAATGTACCTAACCTAACACAATGTGTCACACCTAGCACAATATATCACACCTCACACTTTGCCACATATAACTTATCACAAAATGTGTCACACCTAGCACACTATGTCACATCTAACACATATGATATAACACAATGTCACACCTAACGCATTATGACATAACACACTATGTCACTCCTAACACAATATTGAATATATCACCCCTCAGATATTCATGTCACATCCAACACAACATGTCTCACCTAACACAATCTCAATGGCCTGAAGAACAATGATTGTAGCCAACACAGTGTTATTCAGTTAGCACTTTGCCCAGTAAACAGGTACTCACCAAGTGCAGTAATTGCTATTACTCTGCCAGCAACTTTCCAAACAACATCAATAGCTTTATTCTCAAAGGCTTTGTTAATCCTGTCTGCAGCTTCTTTCCTTTGAAGCAAGTCATGCAAGGGCAGAGATACATGTACAGGTGCCATCTTTTCTGAGACATTCTGTTAAATAAGACATGCTCAGCCATTATAAACTAGACAGCAACCCTGACAAATATACAGACACTAAAAAAAGTATGTATTTTCCATTATTCCAGTCTTATATAATCAGGCATATTACAGCAAGTTACAAAATGGTGGCTTCTTTTGCATTTGCCTGCTTCTTTTGCAATGAGCTTGTTATTTTTCAAAATATGAATCCACCCTTCAGCAATATCCTGGATCCACCAGTAATACCCTGATTAAGAAACATCCAAACCGTCACTCAACGATTAAGGAGCACTTACAGAACAAGAACCACTAGTCTTTGTCAACTCTAATATTTGAAATTCATAGTCACAAATCAACAATACTTGCCTGCAACTTTTCATATGTTTTCAAAACCATGTCCGTAACGACTGACTCTGTCCCCTGATACTCTATGATTCCGTCTTCTTTAAAACCTGTCTTAAGGGAGGGTGACACTGTGTCGGCCCAGAACCCTAATTTTGACAGGAGTTCCACCTTTGACTTTGTGCTCTTGATTGTTAGCAGGGTTTCTTTTTCTTTTGGTTGCTGTTGCCCTTGTGACTGCTGAGCTGGTTGTTCATTTTGAGCTGAGGAGACTTCCATTCCTGATGTCTTGTCTTCTTCAACGTCCTCATCTGCTATTTGATTCGTAGGTGGCTTTGGGGAAAATTGCATAAAAGGAGCAGGGTTTTGAAGTGAGCCCTTTGAGGGAATCGATGTTAGATCATACATAGAGGTTGACTGCCAGGAATGATCTTTGGAACTGTCACCAGAGGGAGATTGCGGTCGCTCCGATGGTAGGGGCACTATAGTGTCATCTTGTGATATTTCACGTAATGGCAGCACCCTCACACCTATTGCAAATAAAACAAAAATGGCAACAAAATGAGGTACTGGTAAGGAGCTGCTAGAAAAAATATGTACTGCTGCTATAATTTGCACCAAATTTGCAGGAACATATATAAAATTCTTTTGTGTGCAAGAAGAGTTTGAGGAAGGCCTGATATTTTGCTAAGGGGGCTGACATGTACACCATTTCTCAGAAGAGAAATAAACAGGTTTTTATAAACATATCACACTTGAGAATTTGTCATTCCATAATTAAAAGGAAAACAAATAAATATTATTTTAATCATTCTTTTTTTTTCAATATCCATATTAAACATTTTGAAGGCAATTAAATATCCAAGCGAAATTGCACCAGCATGCTTTATTACATCCAGTGCAAAAATTCCATACACAAACAACATAAGTACTTAAATCTTATCAAATAGCTGCATAAGTCTCAGATACTTTATAGAAACATCAAAAGTTATAAGATGATTCAAAGTGTGATTATAAATTAAATGTGGTTGAATAACAAGTGTACTGGTATAAGTATAATATATGCAAACATATCGGGAGCATCTTGACAGTCCGAAGGTTGATTGGTCAGAGGGTTCATTGGTCCAAAAAATGGTAACATTTTCATCATTTTTTTTAAATCAAGGGTTCACTGGTCTGAAGGTTCTATAGTGAACATTTGGACCATTGCTATGGCCCCAACATATCTCTCCTCTTTCCTGGCTCTAGGATACTATTCTGATGTATATATTCTGGTGTTGTGTGTATGTGCACATGAGTGTCTGAAAAAAAGTGGTAGGACATACATGCAAGCATCTACATGTACATGTATTCTGGTACCTGCAAAATGTACCTCCTGAGAATTCTTTAATTAAAGAAAAGCGTGATGCGCCTGCACCATTGCAATGCATAACAAGAAAAAAAGTAAAAAAAAAGCAACCGTTAATCAGCAGCCATAGCGTTAAGTCGTAAGCATGAAAATGAACCTTTTTGCTGTACTATCTTCCTCAGAACTTCCCCTGGAGGTTTGGGTGGTAAGGGGGGTGGAATGCGGGTTGAGGTTGTTCCCTTGGTCAACTGACTGGATCCTTTAGTTCCCGAAGAAAACGGAGAAAGGGTGAGCAATCCATTTTTAACATCAATGCATCAGCATACAACTATATTAACTTATCGTGTAAATCAAAGCAAAACAAATTAAAACAAGAAGCTCAGAGAGGTCACTTTAAAGGCCAGCTCCTCCTGGGAACTGAATTCCCTGGTACATTTACAACCCGCCGTAGTCATCTGTTTATATCTTTGTCAAATCCTATTTAGTCCAAATATGTAACAAGCTGGCGAGTATGTACTAGTATGAATTATTATTTTACAATATAAATATGTTCTATTACCAAATTTAGACAAATTTCTCTGTATCCTACATGCTGTGGATAGTAAGTAATAGACATTTGTGCCTTCTCTCTATGTCTATGTACATGTATTTCAACCACATGACAAGAATGGCGGGGATAAGTTATATTATCTTTTAACCACTAGATCATACAGAAACCTATTAAGATATAATCAATCCAACTTCAATGCCAAAAATCAAGTCTGACTTTCAGAGGTCTGTGTTTTTTTTAACCTAATTTGATCTTCATTAAAATTTTCATTTATGTAATTTTTATATTCCAAAGGTTCTATTTGAATTCACTAATTTATATGTACAACTTCAATCTTTTGATTGCAGTTTCACATAAACTTATTATAATAATTACAATAATAATAATATTANTTTCAGAGGTCTGTTTTTTTTTTAACCTAATTTGATCTTCATTAAAATTTTCATTTATGTAATTTTTATATTCCAAAGGTTCTATTTGAATTCACTAATTTATATGTACAACTTCAATCTTTTGATTGCAGTTTCACATAAACTTATTATAATAATAACAATAATAATAATATTATTATTATTATTATTATTATTATTATTATTATTATTATATCATTGGTAACAGCCAGAGGTGTGTTGATAATATATGGGTGAGGTTCTGTTGACCTCTCAAACTCAGGGTAAATATTTTGTACTGAGGATTCTCTTTTGAAAATATACATACCTGGATCTGTAACTTCATCATCTTTCATAAATTCCTCCACATAAGGCATTAATTGGACACTCGTGCCTAGTTTTTCATGTTCTCTAGATAAAATTGCTGGAACAGCTGAAAACAAAAATAAATACGTAAATAAAAATGTGCAAAGATTTAAGGCTAAATTGTATATGTAATTGCAAATAGAGCAATCCAAAATTCACAATTTTTCAACTATGTTTTGTTATAAAAAGAAAAATTTTATTACAGAGTTACTTTATTTTCAGAATGTGCTAAAAACAAATTAAAGGCTTTTCTTGACTTCAACTGCATGCACGTACATTACTTTCCCCCCACAAAAATAAATAAAAAAAATAAATAAAAATCCTCTTCATGTATTGTTTTAATGGCTGATTCTTATTTTTGTACCAATTTGTCCTTTCTGCTGGTCTATTGTCTGAAAAAGTCTACTAGATTTATTTCAATTAAAAAAACTACGGCAGTTTTAATCTTACATGTAGAATAACTTATGACAGTCACACCTATCATTCCTAAGCTTTTTACAGTGTATCCACTCCATAAATACAAGTTCATGTAAATATGCAGGCTAAAATAGGTTAGCATTGAATGTACATTTATTTGCAGTACTATTTATCTTTCCGTTTTATACATGAACTATATAGATAAAATTTTAGGGTGGTTGCTTTGATACATGTATCTGGTTGACCTGATTTCTTATATGTATCAGTACCAGACAAGTGTAACTTGTTTATTGTGACACAAGGTAGATTATTTTGTAGGGCAAATTATGTGCTGAATATTAAAATATATAATTCATGAAGCTCAGTTTGAAAAGTAAAGAAAATATCTCAATAAAAATATCCTAATATACTTATAATAATTATCCCTGAAAATACCCTCAAGTAAACTTCATGGTTTAATCTAAATGGATGTGACAACCTTCCCAAATCTCCTAGTATCAATTTGAGTTTAATGAATAGTCATCAATTCGTTTCTGGTTAAACAATTAATAAACCACAGTCTTTTAATTTCAGTTATATATTTCTCACACCTCTCTTTTTTCTCTCCTTTATAAATTATATGCAAAATTTGGTTTTGGATATCTTCTTCAGATTTTAATTAGCCTGTTAAATAATTTACATTAATAATATATTACTAAATAACTATAAATAAACATATCCTACTGACATATACTGTGTTCTGCACTGTTTTTACTTGCTTATCAGTTATCTGTCTTCTTGGAGAATGAAGGAAAAAAAGGGCACCTCAGATGTTCGGGGGGGGGGGGGGTATCCACTTGGTCTGCTTTTGTACTTTAAGATATTTTTACATTGTAACACATAATCATACTTTACCTGATGGATCCTCAAATTCCACCACAGCTCTTTTCTTTTCATTTTCAAAAGTGCATTTCTTCACCTCCCAACCTCCAGCAGCCTTGCTCTCAAAGTAAAGTTCCAGGTAGTCAGCTGACACCCCATCCTTCGGAAGGTCTTTGATGATGATTTTATCACAGCAGGACATGAGACTTAATTCAAGAATGTGCCCCTCGAGTGCCTTGTTTTTGGCCTTGACAACAGCTTTGGAAAATTCTACAGCAAAGTAATATATTGGTATTCAATCAGAATTTGATTGTGATCAATTTAATTAAAAGTTAAAATAAGTATCATTTTTATTCACCTTTATAAGCAGAAAGTAATTTAGGTAAATCACTGTGCTTGAGAACTAATGTCCTTTATTTTTCAAAAGAGGCCAGCTGTATATAAATATTCTTATTCTGTGTCTTCCATAATATATTTTTTCAATTGATTTATTTACTCTTTTAACAAAGGTTCACTTAATAGTAAAATCATACTGTACCTTTAATCTTGTCTTCAAACAGAGCCACAGCTATGGTTCTGCATTGCCCATAAAAGACTTTCTTCACATCCTCTCCTGTTACATTTTCTAGATACAGCAGCAAACTATCATCAGAAGAATGTGGGGATATGTTCTGAAAAAGATAAATAAATAAAAATAACTACCAGTATTTAAATAAAGGCTAATAATGCCCATTATGAGTACATCCAAATTACATACCAAAACACCTCACTCTTCCTGATTATCTTAACATTTATTGGAGTTTAAAATAGTCTGACAAAATACAGGGATCTCTGTCCACTACCCCCATCCACATTTTCCATCAATACTGCTAATGTATGTAGTACATACAAACATAAATTCATGATATAAAACAAGGTAATGCATTAATTTATGTAATTTGAGCTTTTTTGGTTTCACATCAGAAAAACAAATAAATAAATAAATAAATAAATAAATAAATAAATAAATAAATTAATTAATTAATTAATTAATTAATTAATTAATTAATTAATTAATTAATTAATTAATTAATTAATTAATTAATTAATTAATTAATTAATTAATTAATTAAATCTCTCATCATGCATAATACAACATTCATTTCTTTGTGTGATCAGATAAATTATTTTGCTTATGCCTGATTACATGTAAACACAACTTTTTTTATCAGAACTCAGGCTAACTTTGTAAATATAAAATCAGAATTTAATTGGTAATCTAGCAACAGATTAACAGTGAACCCAGTGTGTACCTTGACCAGGACTAGTTCACTTCCTGGTTGTTCCATTCTGAGTACGTGCAATATACTCTACATATACGTCTGTCCTGTGGTTCTACACCTGTAGTAGATTGATCTAAAATACAGTAGTATAATTATTATAAGTTAAAATGAGTACAAACTGAGAGCCTAAAAGTCATTTGTAAGAAGGTTCCATCCTAAGTAATGAATCATTGGTCTATGTGTAGCTGCTTTTTTATGTTTGTTCACCATAAATCTATAGGTTCATTGGATTGGATTTTACCAAAGGCCGTTTTTTTCCTGATATTGTTAAGGTTTTTTTTTATTATGAACTAAACTTCTGTCCTCTGTTAGCAAAGTAATTCTGTGTATATTGTACTAGAAGATGTACGTCTTACTACTGGGACGAGTACTAGCTAGTCTACTGTGGTACATGAAGCACATGACATAGGCGCTATATAGGGTTCAAAATATCCCACAAGTTAAAAACTATATGTATATTAAATATTGCCACTGACATTTGTGTAGCAGGCACTGTGTTATAAAAACAGCGAGGAAACAGACCGATCCATTTTTCATGTCAAAATATAGCCTGAAGATTCATCTATACTGTCTTCATAAGCGGGCGTACATGTATTATGAATCGTCGCCCACATTAAATAAATTCAGAAATTAAACATTGGAGTTAAATAACAGAAAACAATTAATGCCTCACCTTTCTCCACACCTTGAGCTCTACATCTGTACCATAGTAATTGTAGCGGGACACCTTGGTAAGGGTATTTTGGGTGTCACATCTACAGCAAAATTACCCATGTTTTACTTTCGTTTTTAATCTGCTCCGTGCCCCGGAAATCCCCACTTTATTTACCACTATACCGGAACACGCAGTTTCTTCTCCGTCGCAATGCTTCTCTGTCGCAATGCGTGCATTTGGTAAAATAGCATTTACAGCTACCCGAATATATGTGTAGGTCATTGTTGGTAATTTTTATCAATCATGCGTTACCTTCTTGGTTATACATTCTTAATATGTATTTACCGGAGGACGGGGACTGGGGAAGGGGCACTTTTATTTATCTATTTATTTGTGTCGTTTTATTTTTTCATGATGTACTCGTTAATCCGAATGAACAGCCTTATGAAGTTGGTATTTCTGGTCCCCTCTTGAAATCAAAATTTTGACTAGCTGAATCACAGTTTTAAACC